ATCTTATTTTACAAGCTCTATCTTGAGCTATGCATGATCTAGAATCCAAAATAGACAACAACTCATGGCGGGCATTAGATAATGCCACAAAGGTGGTATCAAGCCGGGTAGATTTGTGGAGGCCCTCAAACGTCGCAATAGAGGTTAGGAGGTCTGTTATGCGGGCTGCTCTAGCTCTTTTGAGGCGGGAACCGTGTTTTACAAAAATGCCCCGTACCACACATTTTAATGCTTCCTATTGGGTCAGCGGGTGAGTGAAATCAGAGGCATGATCGATAGTGAAATTCTGAACTGAGGTCCGGATCTCGGCCAAGCAGAGAGGTTCAATAGGTTGTCGTTTAGACGCCATGAGAAACGGGCATGTGGGACAGTGGGGACTCCTAGAACCAGAAAAACGGGGGCATGATCAGACCAAATCCGCATAGAAATAGGTGCAATCTTTCTCGGAAGCATGTAGGGCTCGCCACACATCAATCAGTCTAAGCTGGAGCAACAAACTTTTACATTTGGAGAGGGATGAAGGAGATAAGGGGGACTTACCGGATGAAGAGTCTAGACTGGGCACCAGTGACAGGGTGAAGTCTCCACCCAGGATCAGATTAGGACATCAAAAATTCTCCAGAGCCATGACTAGGAACGCAAGGAAGTTAAGCTGATCCTGGTTAATAAAATAAACATTAGCCAGAGTATAAACATGACCAAAAAGTTTAATTTTCAAAAAGAGGAACCTGCCCAGAGGGTCATTTTGTTGTTGCAGGATATCGGGTTGAAGAGATTTGTGGAAGGCTATAGAGACACCTTTGGACCGTGCGACCGAATTAGTGCTGTAATACCAACCGGAGTAGAATTTGGACGGCAGCATAGGAATGGTATCACTGTGGAAGTGAGTTTCCTGCAAGAACAAGACACCCACCTTATGTTTATGCAAATGATAAAGCACCAGGCTCCGCTTTTGAGGAGTGTTGAAGCCCTGCACATTCAGGGTAGCTAAGGTGACATGGGAGCTAGCCATCATGGGGGTTTAAAAAGATATATCATGGAACTGTACCCATCCCCCAGGGTAGGGGAGAGAGTTAGAGGGAAGTGTAGAAGAAGGGAGGAGACAGAAAAGCAGTGGGGAAAAGAAAGGGAGAAAAAGAGAGACATGAGGAAATAGGTTCTCTCACACCATCTAGTGGCGCAGGGAGAGAATGGTATGAAAATAAACCAAAGTATGGACCAGGAAGCACTATAAACATTCAAGAGGTCAGTGAGCGCACCCACCGACAACCTGAGGGTAACATGGAAGGCACAGGGAGCGTCTCCCGCCCCAGGGCGTGCATATATAACATAAACAATGTAGCCAAGGGCTACAAGATAATTGGGCAAAACAATATGTACCGAAGAAACATGTGTATAAACGATATGTAAAAGTATAAACAACAGCAGCAGATGTGGTCGGCAACTAAACCACATGAAACAGCACAGGTGAGGCACCGGGCATCATCCGGCGAATGGCTGAAGGCAATCAACCATTAGGAAGCACAGTCCCATCTGGAGGATTGAAGAAAAAGGGATGCGGAGGCGGATGGAACATCAGTCAGGTATGAGGGGAGGATGAGGCCTCTGCACGCCCGGCGGATTTCCTCAATTTCTTTATCCAGGATGAGGGTGAGACGAAACAAGGCAGGGTCGGTTTAAGAGGCCAGTCTGGTAAAGCGACTTGAGGAAGCTCCAACTTACCCAGGAAGGTCGGGATCACCCAGTGAGCGGAAAATGGCCGATTTGCCTTCATGTTGAAACCCAGCGGTATTTAATGTTGGGTTGGCTGAGCATGTCAAGGAGTGGTCGCAGAGCCCTGCGAAGAGTGAGCGTGTGGCCCGAAAGATGAGGCAGTAGGGTGATAGGGGTGTCATTGAACAGGATGGCTTCCTATGTAGGAGCAGTCCGCATAATGTCATCTTTAAGCTTGAAAAAATTGATCCTACATATGACGTCTCTGGGGTTTGATTGGTCTGGACGTCTGGCCCCTAGTGCCCTGTGTATCCTGTCCACTTCTATAGGGGACTCCTTGGGCTTATTCAGGATCTGATTACAAAGAGCAATCGCGGCAGATTCTAAGTCTTTGGGCTCAATGGACTCTGGAAGGCCGCGAATGCGGATGTTTTTGCGACGGTTTCTATTCTCCTGGTCATCTTGCTGATATATCAATTGATGCAGTAACACGGTGTGTTCTTGTAAAGTGGTATCATGCAGGAGTATCCGGGAGCGTAATTCAGAGGAGGTTTGTTCAATGTCCTCCAGTCTGGAGCTCAAGTCTTTCTTTAAGGTAGACATTTCCCTTTTATATGTGTGCTCAAAGCGTGCAAAGCAGGATTCAATGTCCTTCTTAGTGGGCATGGCTTTGATGTAAGCTTCCATGTCCCATCCCTCGTGTGAGCTGAGAGAGGCTTGGGACAAGCTTCTGGAACGTTGGGAGAGCCCTCCTGAGATATGGGGAGAATGGGGCCCCTGTGTCTGGCTCACCTGTTCCAGTTCAGCTGCCTCGGATCATGCAGGAGAAAGCTCCAGCGGCGCCATCTTGGCTGCACGCGGGGAAACAAGGGTTCTGAGGCCGCGGGTGCCGTTCGGGCGAAAAAACTGGTTAATTCCCGTGGAGTGGGACCCTTCTTTGGCTGGCTCTTCCCTCTGTTCCTCCGGCCACTCATTGCCTGCTGTCCGGGGAGGATTCAGCTGCTGTCGGCGGAGAAAGGAGCCCTTACGAGCGGGAGACAAGCAGTAACACGTCTCACCGTTCCATGCGTCAAGCCACGCCCCCAAGTATTCTTGTTAGATTCCACAGGTGGAGGGAGTGGTCCTTAAGAGGGTCGATAACGGAATTCATAACATCTCCGATCAAAAGTTGAGAAGATTTATTTTGTAAGATCAGGCCTAGTAAGTCGTCACAAAATGCTTTGTTGGTGTAGTTGTGACCCTAGGTATTGACAAGCACCAGCTCTTTAGTGCCATGCTGTATCGTAGTGCATGCCCAACGACCCGCAAGCTCATCATATGTGTGGGTTAGGACGGATCATTGAAGAGCTTTATGAACCAAAGTGTTGACTCCAGCTTTGCGGGGGGGCAATACAAAAAAAAGTTAGCCAGCGACACAAGTAAAGCCATCATCAATAAGCATGGTAGCATAAGTAGGAACACACGAACAAATCAGAAACTTGTCCCGCCTGTGAAACAACATCCAGATTATTGAAACACCCACGAGTAAAAAGAGTAGCCATCTAATGAGGTAGCAACTATAAATGGCATTGAGAAGGTAGCAGTCCCAAGGTACCCTCGCTACATACTGATTAGGTAGGGTGGTCCTCCTGCAAACAAGGCGATCCAGCAATCCTGCCATATGTGGCATTGAGTCTTTCCAGGCGGCAGAGGTATTGTAGTGCATGCTGCGGAGTCGTGCAGGTCTGAATATTACCATCTGTGCCATGAATCCGTAGAATAGCAGGATAATGTTATTAAATAAAGGCAATGTTTACTGACTATTTGCTGGCATACCTCAGTAAATGCTTTTCGACGCCTCGTACGATCAGCAGAATAGGTGGGAAAAAGCAACAGTTTATGGCCATCTGCTACTAAATTTCTGTGTTCTGTAAGCTCGGATGATAAGAATGTGATAGTTGTAATTCAAGTATCGAACAATGACCGATCTTGGAGCAGTAGAATCCAGTCTTGGGGGGCCAACTACTCTGCACGCCGTTGTGATTCCCAATGCAGTCGGGATAGTTAGTGCACAGAATTTCTGTATGTCAGATGGAGGGACTGATTCTGATAGGCCTATGACTCTTAAATTGTTGTTGCGTCTGGACCTATTTTCAAGGTCATCAAGCTTTTCAGTTTGTTGTTTAACCTGCGAGTAGAGAAGCATGGTATCAGAGCACACAAGAGTCTCCAGCATCTTCCACACTACTCAGTGTTTGTTCTACTTCAACAATGCGAGAAAAATGATCTTGAATAGAATTTTTAATGGCCGCAAGCTCAGTCTTTATAGCATCTGAAATAATAGAGGAGAGGTCTGCCTTAAGGTTGATGCCACCTCCTTAGCCAGAAGTTTGTAGTCATGAACAGGAAGCAATGTTGTAGACTCTCCGAGTCCCCATCTGCAAGGTGATCATCATCATCCGCTGCCGCCATCTTAGGCAGTTGTCTCCTTGTGTCTTTACCGCGAGGTGGGAGACGTTTGGCCGAAGCGGGGGGCACTACAAATTTGTCCATAGCTCGGTAGATATGTAGAGTGACAGCCGATGAGAAATCCGTGGCAAAGGACATAACTCATATAATTATGCTAAACTATAATATCACTGATATTACTTTGTCCTTTTCATCAACACATGCCATCCCCCTACTGTCATGCCAATCATAAAATTCACTGTAGATGGTGTTGCCATTACCGTATATCTTAGTGTACCATTCTATAGTTGTATAGTATTTTTTGTACAATTTTTAGTACAGCTACATACTAACTTGTTACTGGAACCTTTCTGTCATCTACTGATATGTTTGTGGCTTATATTTTACATTGCTTTCATGAATTATTTATTTGCGGACCTTTTATATTTCTGCAAACACTTTTTTATCAAGATAACAGAATCATGCAAGTAAAATTAGTAACAAACTTGATGTGAACGATATAGAGATACTGTAAATTTTATGCAATTTTTTTTATTAGCCCTAAAGAAGGGGGTCCATCAGAGCACTTGAAATGCATTGGCTTCTTCTGGAACACACATTTTAATATTTTTTTCCAGGACCCTATACTGCTGGCTTTGTGCTTTCTCACCACACAAAGAATATTATCGATGTCTGTTCCAGCACAGGAAGTTAGGAGAAATTGCCCCAATGGACTCATGGATGGAAAAAACAACAACTTTACAGCAGTAATTACATTTCCAAGTCTAGCCAAAACAAAAAAAAGTTTTGGCTGGAGCTGCAATTTAACTATCATAGTGCACAATATGGTAAAAAAATACCTTATATTCTAGTGTCTCTTTAAGAAGATTTTCTTCCTCCACAGAGAAGTTGAGCAATACAGATACAGCTTTTATCAAATGAAAAGCCTGAAAAGACAATTACAAGTAATGTTTTGAATAGCCCTATGACAAAGCAACACATGATGCCAAATCCTGCTGTGCAAATGCTCATAAAATCAGCAGGTACTGTCTGCCACTCACTTAACTAATTTACTTAATTTAAATAACACAGTTTGAGGTGTTATTATATTGAATAGTGTTCACTCAAATTTATGAAATGTGTTGATGAGCATTTTTTATTTTTTGATGCATTGATGTATATTATAGGGGCTACTGAGGTCTAAGGCAATGCATGAAAATACATGACTGCTGATAATACAATGCATTGTCAGCCTTGCCTAAGTTATTCCCTGCTGGACTACAGAAGTTTACCTATTACCATCCTTCTCTCTCCCTCTCCACGTGCATGTATCAATGTCTTTCTAAGCCAAAATGCTGCTTGCTTGACTCTTAAGAACCTCTTGGTGGGCATGTCTATAATAATAGGTTCCTATAAATATATTAATAGGAATTGATCTAGGAGGCCTTATAGATCCCTCTTCCTAGCCGCTGCCCTGCAAAAATGTTACAAGACCAGTGATGATGTCACAAAGATTTACAAACGTTCCTTCTCACTACAGGTAAAAGAGAAAATGAATACTGGAACATGTGTTAGAGGGGTAGAGAGAGGTTGATGGGTACATTTAAGTCATGCCTACAGTAATCACATAGCAAAATTAATTCTGGTATGAACAAGCTCTGTCTCTAGTGGTCACTAGAGGAAAAAAAAATCTAAAAAAACGGATGCAGGTATAATGTACAGGCAACTAGAGGAACCTGTATGTGCCTGCAAAAGCTTCAAAAAGCCTTCAGATATGGCTGAAATTTGGGCTGTTCTGGCAGGCAAAACTTTGACACTTCCTCAGTGTCAAAGCTTGCCCGCATTTTTCTGTTTCCTGCTCATTCCAATTGGCCAGAGAGGCAGCCAGTCATAGTAATGGGCCAAAAGGAATATGATTGGGCAGGGCTTAGTAGCAAGCTCTGTGCTTTGCCTGCCAGAGCAACACGGCAATTAGTCATATTTGTAGGCCATTTCAAGCTACTCCAGGCGCCACTAGGTACTTGTACCTGATGCCTTTTTTTCTCTAGAGACAGGGTCTCTTTAAATGTAACAATTTGTTGCCATCATTATGCAGGTTTCTTACCTCTGCTTCCCGAGCAGACATAAACTTCAACACAACATGTTTCAGGTACTCAAAGTTCATCTCTCGTGAGTCAGTAAGATCAGATGAGCTAGTCACAGTGAGGGAGGTTGCCAGTGAATCAGGATTTGGCTTCTCTCGCACATCATTTACCTCTGGTTCTGGTTTTAGTTTCTTTAAAAAAAAAAATGTAAAAAAACAGTTCAGCTTAGATATGTAACAAAAAAATAATTGAGGTGTTGTTATATGTTATAGGGATGTTAAGAGTAAGAACCAGTGAACTGTAAAAATAAAGGATCTCCTGATGAAGAACAGAGCTTGGGTATGCCATGAACATTGTTGGATCTATCCTGCCTGTGTCTCTCAAGAAGATCCTTCAGGGAACAATTAAAGTCCTAAGATGCTGACCCCAACTTTTTTGTCTGCACTTAGGATACATTAACAGACATGTGAGAGACGTATTAATAAACAATACACAAACATGCCAATTTTAAATAGGTAGAAAGCTTTTACTATTCCCATACAATCACGATATGTCTTGGCTAAGGATGGGCTCGATGTTCGAGTCAAGCAACAGTTCGACTCGAACATCGGCAGTTCGTGTGTTCGGCGAACACACGAACTATCAGGGCTTTCGGCTGGCTGTTCACCCGCTGAGCGCCCCACAAGGAACTGTGGGGCGCTCAGCGGAGCTAGCTAGCTGTCACCGTTAGCTCTTGAATAAAGACTACAGTTTGCTACTGAACATACACTCACTGGCCGCTTTATTAGGACACCTCTTCAACTGCTCGTTAACACAAATATCTAGTCAGCCAATCACATGGCAGTAACTCAATACATTTAGGCATGTAGACATGGTGAAGGTGGTCTGCTGAAGTTAAAACCAAGCATCAGAATGGGAAAGAAAGGTGATTTAAGTGACTTTGAACATGGCATGGTTATTGGTGCCAGACGGGCTGGTTTGAGTATTTCAGCAACTGCTGATCTACTGGGATTTTCATACACAAACCATCTCTATGGTTTACAGAGAATGGTCTGAAAAAGAGAAAATATCCAGTGAGCGACAGCTCTCTGGGCAAGAATACCTTGTTGATGCCAGAGGTCAAAGGAGAATGGCCAGACTGGTTTAAGCTGATAGAAATGCAACAGTAACTCAAATAACCACTCGTTACATCTGAGGTATGCAGAAGAGCATCTATGAACACACAACACATTGAACCTTGAAGCAGATGGGCTACAGCCACAGACGACCACACTGAGTGCCACTTCAGTCAGTTAAGAAAAGGAAACTGAGAAAAGGAAACATGATAGCATCACACAGTTGCTGCAGATTTGTCGGCTGCACATCCATGATGCGAAGCTCCACCAGCCTGAACTGTTGATACAAGGCAGGATGAATCAATGCTTTCATGTTGTTTACATCAAATTTTGACCCGACCATCCGAATGTCACAACAGAAATTGAGACTCATCGGACCACGTAACGTTTTTCCAATCTTCTATTTTACAATTTTTGGGGAGCCCTAACAAACCATCTCTATGGTTTACAGAGAATGGTCTGAAAAAGAGAAAATATCCAGTGAGCGACAGCCTCAGCCTCAGTTTCCTTTTCTTAACTGACTGAAGTGGCACTCAGTGTGGTCGTCTGTGGCTGTAGCCCATCTGCTTCAAGGTTCAATGTGTTGTGTGTTCATAGATGCTCTTCTGCATACCTCAGATGTAACGAGTGGTTATTTGAGTTACTGTTGCATTTCTATCAGCTTAAACCAGTCTGGCCATTCTCCTTTGACCTCTGGCATCAACAAGGTATTCTTGCCCAGAGAGCTGTCGCTCACTGGATATTTTCTCTTTTTCAGACCATTCTCTGTAAACCATAGAGATGGTTTGTTAGGGCTCCCCAAAATTGTAAAATAGAAGATTGGAAAAACGTTACGTGGTCCGATGAGTCTCAATTTCTGTTGTGACATTCGGATGGTCGGGTCAAAATTTGATGTAAACAACATGAAAGCATTGATTCATCCTGCCTTGTATCAACAGTTCAGGCTGGTGGAGCTTCGCATCATGGATGTGCAGCCGACAAATCTGCAGCAACTGTGTGATGCTATCATGTTAGTATGGACCAAACTCTATAAGGAATGTTTCCATCACCTTGTTGAATCAATGCAACGAAGAATTAAAGCAGTTCTGAAGACAAAAGGGGTCCAACCCAGTACTAGCAAGGTGTACCTAATAAAGTGGCCAGTGATTGTATAGGCAAAGACAATGCCTTTTAGAATGATGTGTTGTAGGCTGAAGAATTAATGACAATTGTTTGGCCACAGCAAAAGTAGACATGTTTGGTGCAATCAATGACAGAAATTTAGGTCAAATTAACTGTGAAGAATTATTATGGCAATGTTATGGCTTGGTGTTGTTTGGGAGCTATAGGGCCTGGGAAGCTTGCAGTCACTGAGTCAACTATGAATTCTGCATTGAATCAAAGTTTGCTTGACAAGAATATGGGACCATATGTCTGAAAGTTGAACTCAAAATGAATCCTTTAATGTGGTAATTATTAGGGAAACATTTCGGCCGAAAATGGTACTTTGGGCAAAATGGAGAAAGTACATTTTTGTGGCCGAAAATGCCGTATCTCTAGTTTCTCTCCTCCTCGCTGGGCACTGCTCTGTGTCCCCTCTGACACTGAGCAGCGCCCAGCAGGGAGGAGAGAAACCTTCAGGAGGCCGAGCGGGGCGGGGAGGAGAGCGTTGTCAGCTGTGTCACAGGAGGCCAAGCTCTCATTCCGCACCGCCCGCTCAGCCTCCTGTGACAGCAAGTCAGGAATGAGGGCGATATACAATATACACTTACTATACAAACACTACAATATACACTTACTATACAAACACTTACTAAACACAGCAGAGGCGGCTCTCTAATTAGGCAAATTAGGCGGTCGCCTTAGGCCTCGCGCTCCCGAAGGAGGGCTCTGTGGGGTCTAACCAAGCTGTTTAGACCCTACAGAGCACTGGAGAGACCCTACAGAGCCCTGGTGAGACTCCTACAGAGCACCCCACGGAGCCCTGGTGAGATCCTACGGAGCCCTGGTGCTGATTTAACCAGGGCACTGTGGGTCTCACCAGGGCTCTGAGGGGGTCTGACCAGGGTGGTGAGACCCCACATAGCCCAGGTGAGACCCTGCGGAGCCATGGTGCTGGTGAGACCCCATGGAGCCCTGGTGAGACCCTACAGAGGCTTGGTTTAACCAGGGCTCTGTGGTGTCTTACCAGGCTGGTCAGACCCCACATAGCCCTGGTGCTGGTGAGGCCCTACAAGTTTAACCAGGGCTCTTTGGTGTCTCACCAGGGCTCTTTGGTGTCTCACCAGAGCTCTGTGGGGTCTCCCCAGGGCTCTGTGGGTCTAACAAGGCTGGTTAGACCCAACAGAGCCTTTGTGAGGCTCCAAAGAGCCCCGATGCCCTGGTGAGACCCCAAAGAGCTTTACAGAGCCCTGGTGCTGGCGAAAACCTACAGAGCCCTGGTGAGACCCTGCTGAGTCCTGGTTTTACCAGTGCTTCTTGAGGTCTCACTTGGGGTCTGAGGGGTCTAACCAGGCTGGTGAGACCCCACATAGCCCTGGTGAGACCCTACAGAGCCCTGGTGCTGGTGAGACCCTACAGAGCCCTGGTTTAACCAAGGCTCTGTGGGGTCTCACCAGGGCTGTTTAACCCCCACAGAGCCCTGTTGGGACCCTACAAAGCCCTGGTGAGACCCTCTAGAGATTCTTTGGGATTTCACCAAGGCTCTTTGGGATCTCACCAGGGCTCTGTGGGGTCTAACCAAGCTGGCGAGACCCTACAAACCCCTGCGAGACCCTACAGAGCCCTGGTGAGACCCTACAGAGCCCTGGTTTAACTAGGGCTCTGTGGGGTCTAACCAGGACTGGTAAGACCCCATAGAACCATAGTTTAACCAGGGCTCTTTAGGGGTCTCCCCAGGGCTCTGTGGGGTCTCACCAGACTGGTTAAACCCCACAGAGCCCTGGTGAGACCCCACAGAGCCCTGGTGAGACACCACAGGCCTGAGTGGGGCCTCATGTTTAGGTTTTGCCTAAGGCCTCGCAAACTCTAGAGCCGCCTCTGAAACACAGCTATTCGCTGAGTGTTTGTAAAAAATTGAGGACATAGTAAACTGTGTCCCCAATTATGCTTTACATCACTTCCTGTTCATTCATGATTGTGGACATAGTAACTCATACTATCATCACAGTTTATGAATGGACAGACAGGAGCGCTCAGTACAGAGGTTCCCTGTTCATTTATAACAGGGGCTGCAGAAAAAGAAATTTAGGACTCCTGTGTCCACAATCTCTTTTTCTATTTCAAAAAAAATCTATATTTCATTAGAAATCCACCAAGGAATGGCTCAAAAAGAGAAAATGGTATGGAATTGACTAGTTAAAGTCCTGATTTGAATTCCATTGTAATGTTGGGGAGATTTAAAATGGGCAAATCATGCAAGGAAACCCATAAACATTTTACAAATGGAGGAATCTTGCATGGCGGTGTGGATGTCAGAGACTAGTGGGCAGTTATGCAAAATGCAGATGTCATTTATGCTAAAGGGGGCAATACCAGGCTCTGAGGCAAGGAAGTACTGTTTCCACAGTAAACTATTACATCTATTGATATTCTGGTGTAATAAATGATAGGCAAGGGCATGGCTGGGCTGTTTGCATCCTAGCAACCAAAGAAGCTGTGTTGTACACAATTTATAGGACAGTATATAGAAGCCTCAATTAGAAATGATGCTCTGCGGGTCCTGGTAATCTCAAACAAAGCAGAACGTATCACAAATGTTCATATAAAGGAAAATCTAGGTAGAAGATTTTCCTTCATCACATGATTTACATTTTTGTAAACAATAACTAATTGAAAAGGCTAAACATAAATGTCAAATGTTAAAAAAAGCCATAGCGAAAAAACAAAAGCATAAAAGTAAAGGGACTGGCTGCTTAGGCAAACAATTGGAATTGTTTTTTTCCTGGAGATTATAAGCTCTGGGTGTTCCCCTTTTGAAAGGTCAGTCTACCACATCAGTAACAAGCAAATGGCATAAACAAAAAACAGGTGTGAGGGCTAACTACATAGTGTAGAAAGTCCAAGGGTTAGCTATAGATCGGGACTTGACCAAATTT